CGGTATGCCGGTCAGCCGATGAGCGCGCAGAGGGAATCAGATCGAGCAGTCATTCTTTTCTTCTTTAGGTTTCGGTTCGCATGCAGCGGAATAGCCTATAGCGAGTGTGCATGCTGGTGGCGGCTGCCTTTTTTTTTTCGGTCCTCAGAAGTGTTCTGACGCGTTGCTCTTGTTCCAGACGGAGAGTCCGAGATACCGAAGTGGCTTGCGCTGACCGCCTACTGTCCGCAGCTTGCCGGTCCCGCCTGTGAGTCGTACGTGGAGGTCGTTGGGGAGAAGATCAACGAGCTGGAGGACGGCGGAGGAGGCGAGCAGCTAGGGCGAGTGGTGACCGATGCCTACTCGCTCCACGGCGTGGAGGGCGACGCGGGCAGTGACAGGGGCCACAAGGACGACGACGTCCTGGAGCAGCAGCCCGAAGACGGCGCACAGGAGGCCGTCGAGGACGAGAGCGGCTCCAGGGACCAAGAGAAGCTGAAAGGGGGTCAGCGGAGAGTTCAAATGCTGAATAGGCGTGTCCAGAATAACATTAAGACGTACGATTGTAGTGAATGCGGGAAGCGGCTTATCAACAAAAGTCACCTCGATTACCACATCAGGACCCACACAGGCGAGAAACCATATGAATGTGAAGTTTGTAACAAGCGTTTTATTCTGAAATCCAGTCTTGATGCCCACGTCAGGACCCACAACGGCGACAAACATGAATGTGACGTTTGTAGAAGGTGTTATACAACAAAACCAAGTCTTGAAAGCCATATCAGGACCCACACCGGTGAGGAAGCCTTTCCCTTTCAATGCGATGCTTGTGAGAGGCGCTTTACCCGGAAAGATAGCCTTGATTACCACGTCATGACCCACACAGGCGAGAAACCATTTGAATGTAACGTTTGTAAACAGAGCTTTAGGGGCAAATCACAACTCAATCGTCACAAGATAACACACCGTACTGCTGCGGACTTTTGAATAGTTGGTTACTTCAAATAGCCAGCACAAAACTATATTTTGTATTGGCGTGTTAATTGAGGTATGGCTTCCTGAAAGAATTACGTTTTGTCCATTTGGTCCGTAGGCCAGCCGATGTAACATGCGACACGACAGCCTCGCTCGTTCTTTGTTTTTTGTTCTGAATTTCTCATTATTATAAATTTGTTATGTCTCTTGTTGTAATTTAGTTAATAAAAATGAAACCTTGCACCGATCCT